TGCATTCATTCAACAGGCTAGAGAGTGTCCACTGCATTCATTCAACAGGCTAGAGAGTGTTCACTACATTCATTCAACAGCTAGAGAGTGTCCACTGCATTTGTGATGAATTTCAACTTCTAAAAAGCCCCAAGAAACAATAATGAAGGTTCTGGAGGCCTCCCTATCAAAGCAAACACAGCTTTTCTCCAAAGCGCTATTTAATCATGATTTATTAACAACTTGCATATTCCCAGTTGACAGGATTCTCTCTCTGTTCTCTCCTATCAGAAGTAAATCCCACAGTGCATCACCCCAGCTATGAGCTGACTTCTCAGGAAACCCTCAGTGTTTCTCCACCTTCCTCTTGCTTCTAGATCAGCTGTCGATTAGTACAGGCCCCAAATAGGGGTTGAAATCTGCATTGCATTATCTGTCACATTAGTTACAGAGAAAATGGCAGAGATACCCAGAGACAAGGAACAGGGGATTTTGGATAAACAACAGTGGCAGTTATGTAGCAGCTGAACCGAATCACAGGCACCAGAGCTTGTAACAGCGTGTTGAATTGCAGGATCAAAGGTAACTGCTCCCCACTTAGGTAAACTATCCATTTAACTCAAACATTGAGAGTGGATTTGTAGACATGGTATTCTATTCTGTAATAGTGTCAGAGAGCAATTATTGATGACATTTGTGGTGCACATTTGAATTTGGAGAAAGAAACAGAAAAAAAAAAAAACAAAGAACTTGAGTGCCTTGCTATACATACTATCATGATTTCATAGGATGTGGAGGTGAAAGGAAAGATCTTTTTACAGACTCTGTAACTGATTTTATTTTTTTCAGGCTCTCAACACAGGAGTTAGAATGGATGCCTCCCTCCTCGGGTGTGTAGTACAGACTCAGAATAGATTGTTTAATGCACACAGCTCTCCACGGTCTTCTTAGGGGAAGAGAAAAGTCCTGATTAACTTCTGATTCTGAGAGGAGATGCATAGGAGGCCTGAGATTGAATTGAACCTGAGGTCTTTGTTAGAATCTGTGTTTATGCCCTTCATCGTTGGAATAGCTCTTTTCTTGTTAAGAAAAACATTGATCTGGGTTTCAAAAAAAAAAAAAAAAGTACTGGTCTTGTCTTCGGATCCATGATTCCTTTATCTGCTGTGGGGAGGACTAAGTGGATAAAAGCTAAAACCTGCTTGTCTCTGCACCAACCTCCCCTACCTGATTCTTCCTTCTCCTCCAGGCAGAAAGATGGTGGGGTCGTAGTAAAGACGTATCTCAGATACCGAGCTATTTCTTGAGAAGACAACCTGACATAAAAGTTAGGTGGGGCCGGGAAGCACCAGGGGATGCCCAGATCTGCCCCTTAATTGTGGCTACACTATCAGCAGCACCGCACTGATGGACCTCTCTCCTCACCTCTTCTTCACTCCTCTCCCGATCTCTGTTTCTTTTCTGGCCCTTATCTGGCCTATCATAGTAAGAGGTCAGTATGTTTTCCACACTTGGATAATCTCATTCAAGAATTTTTGTCAATGGACAAGTCATAAGAAGCCCTTCCATTTTAGGGCTCGTTGACGTCACCAAGGAGGCGATAAATATCTGTTGATATAATTGGATGTGAGATTCAGTGTTGAAATAGCAGAACTCTGTCCCTCGCTCCTTGGCAGGGCCCTATGATTTATGCAGGAGCAGAGGCAGCACGCAATAGAGCTGTCAAGAGAGCGTCAGCTTATTAGGCAAATGCTGCGTGCTTTCTGAAGAGGGTCGACGTTATAAAATCTCACTCCAGGCTCTGGTGTGGAGAAACTCAGAGCCCAAGTACGTTGAGAGACTGAAGAGAAAGGGAAGAGGCAAAGGAAGGAGAGGAGAGAGGCGAAGAGGAAGAGATCCTGCAAGAGACATCCTGGGAGAGGTCCCTCTGCAGAGGCAGCAGCAGCACGCTCACTTGCCAAGGGAGGAGAAGGTAGGCAGCGCCTAGACGGGCGCCACCAACTTTGTGCTGCCTGTGCGGGAGTGCCTGTGCGTGCATGTCTGTGTGTCCCCAACTGTGCCTTAAAATTCCAGCGGCAGCGGTGATGTGGCAAAAAAGCAAAGTTAGACGGCTGCTCATCTTTATCCACCCAATCTGCCACTTACCGCTCACAGTCTGTGTAAAGAATGGCTCCCCCATCGCGTCCCATGTCCATCCCGACCCCCAAGCAAAGGGAGCAAGGGCAGGGATGGATACAGAGAGTAGTTCTCAATTTGGAAGAAAAGGCTGTCCGAAAGGGGGCGATCAGGGCGGGCGACAGCTTAAACCTGTGGCACTTCTTCGGGCTCAGGGAAGTCTGTTTTGAGAGTACGTTTGGGAGATCCTTAGGAAGAGGAGTCAGGGGTTGTCCCTTCTAGGTCTCCAAAGACGAGTCACCTGCTGGCTAGCGGATGAGCCTTACGGGTGCTTGGCTTCAGCACCGCGGACAGTGCCAACCGTGCCCAGAGCCGGGCTTGTCTGTGGGTGTCAGATGGGAAGGAAGCTTGGGTGCACCTCCCAGCTGAGCTAAACTCTAACCAGTCCTCCCTCTCTTCCCCACCTTCTCTCTTCCGCTCTCCCCCACCTCTGCTGCAGCGAGCGCCCCTAACATGAGGCTGCGACTGCTGGTGTCCGCGGGCATCCTGCTGATGGCTCTGTCGCCCAGCCCTCCGTGCAGGGCCCAGCTGAGCAGGGGACCCGTCCCAGGCGCTCCGCGGTCCCCGCAGCCCCTGAATTTCCTGCAGCCAGAAGAGCCCCAGCAGCCTCAGCCGGTTCTGATCCGCATGGGAGAAGAATACTTCCTCCGCCTGGGGAACCTCCACAGGGGCCCCGCTGCTCGGCTGTCGCCCGACCCCTCGCCCCTCTCCGCGGGTCGCGACAGCCGCCCCTCGCAGGACCAGGCAGCCGCTAACTTTTTCCGCGTGTTGCTGCAGCAGCAGCAACCGCAGCAGCAGCAGCAGCAGCAGCAGATGCCTCAGCGCTCGCTCGACAGCCGCGCGGGGCCGGCGGAGCGCGGCGCCGAGGACACCCTCGGCGACCACCAGGGGGCGCGGGAGAGGGTGAAGCGGGCCGAGGAGCCGCCCATCTCTCTGGATCTCACCTTCCACCTTCTGCGCGAAGTCTTGGAAATGGTCGAGGCAGAGCGTTTAGCGGAGCAAGCTCACACCAACAGGAAACTGATGGAGATTGTTGGGAAATGAAATGGTGTGTTTGGCCAAGGCGATTCTGCATTTAGCGCAACAGTGAAAACAAAAAAGTTTAAAACAGTATTCTGTACCATATCGCAGCTCTGATATTGTTTATTTATTTTTATAGAGCTTGAAGCATAGACTATGTACAGGGAGAGAGCCTATATAATTATTGTTTAATTAGCATGCACAAAGTGTATTTCTGTGCAGTAGCAAAACAATGTGATTTGAATTGCCCGTGCTTAGTTTTCCGTGTGCAAATAAGTGTCTTTATAGCTGTATCTTAAAGAAAACGTGGACCCAAGGAAGAAGGTTTTTTGAGAAGCATATGGAAGTCACTGGTTGTTTTGGGGGGTCACAGCAGAAAAGAATTCATTCTCAAGGGGTGGCCAGGACGAGATGTGCAAGCTCTCTGAATCAACATTTTCTTGTAAACGTTTCAATAATAAAACATCTGTCCAATCCTTGGTCAATTTGGTTGTGTAAGAGAACGTTGAACATTTATATTTTTAATAAAATCTGCAAAGGTTATCGTGCTTTTATGTTTCCTCTTCAGTGTGTATACAGAAATGGCCCCAGCACAGGGAAATAAAAACAACACAACAAACAAAACTCCACAAAACCCCCTCCGTTTTATTTTCTCCTAAACCCGCCAATGTTTGTTAAGTAGCTCACACAGACCCTGGGCTTTTCTCTGTACTTCAGGTTTCTCTTTGAGATGGAGTTAAATAATTTTAGAGGTTCCTCTCGCCTCTAAAATTTGATAATTTTGCAATTGGAAGATCAGTCACAGTGGAAATTAACATGCAAACATAATCTGTGTGTGTGTGTGTGTGTGTGTGTGTGTGTGTGTGTGTGTGTGTGTGTAAGTGTGCACCATGGCAAATGTGTAGAGGTCAGAGGATGATTGGCAGGAGTCAGTTCCTTCTAGGGACTGAACTCAGGTCTTCAGGCCCAGAGACAAGTGCCTTTACCACTGAACTGCCTCACCAGCCTTCGACAGGAGAAACTTAATAACACAAACACTTCAAGGGACTAAACAGCATTGCTGAAAGGGGCACTGGGGAAATTTTTTCTTAAAAAGAACATTTTGACTTTAATAACTGCACAAATACCCTTCATATCGTCTCTATTGCAATCCTAATAACTGTGACTTGCAGGACTATGTTATTCGCTTCTAAAATTAAACAGCACATCTAATTAGTTTGACAATATATTTGCCTTTAGTAGTTTAGTTACAGCTTTAAAAAAATCTCAGTCCCATGATTAATACTTTAGAATTAATTTATATGCATGAAGATAGTACTTCTCTGGAGGCCCTTGAAATATGCTTGACTAATGGCTTAATAATCTAATATGAGCAGTTAAAGAAATCATTTGGAGACTAAGGTTTTTAAAAACAACATTTATTTAAGAGTTCACTTAAAGTTACACTTATTTGAGGAAGGCATCACAGTGATAGACAGATGATAGATGATAGATAGATAGATAGATAGATAGATAGATAGATAGATAGAGAATTGTGTATATATTTCAATACATGCAGTTGTTCCATAGTTTATTAAATTGCTGCTAGGGTAGACACATAAGAAAGTAGACTGTTTCTCCCAGAAAGTCTTCAATTAGAATGCCTGATATATGAATATAAGATTATGAGATATGTGATTAAGATTAGAAAAATGTCAAAAGAAATGCCCTAGACCTTTGGCCTTCTGGACTATAGAAGTGTGGCCAAATTCAAAGATTACTTCCAGCTGCACATCCAATGACAGGTGTAGAAATGAGGAACCTTTGTAGAGTCCTTCTTAGCCTTGGTCGGTGATCGATCGCATGCCTATATTTTGACAAATCGGTCGGTTCTGAACTGACACTGAATGCTAAGGAGAAGAGAAAAACAAAAACAAAAACAAAAACCACACCTGCGCTAAAAATAACAAGAAGCCGGTGCCCATGAGAGACAGGAGTGTAGCGCCCACTGTGTTAACACTTGCCACTTATAGATGACGGGCACACATGTACCACACCCACACAGCCCTTCAGAATGTTTCCCACAGGATGAAAGATTTGCATAAGATCAAGTTTCTTTATAACAGTGTTTGCTGCAACTTTGCTCTGAGCACATTCATTTTCTCGACAAGTTAGGTAAGTCATCCGGAATTAAAGGTTTATTGTTTTCTTTCAGAAATCCCGTGCAGAGGTCCCATTCATATGCATCATGGTGAATTTCACCCACTGCCTCTTGTGCATCTCACCCAGGCCGCCAGGGGCCGCCAGAATAAATATCATTCATTCAGGGAATTCAACCAGGAGAAGGAGAAGACATGGCGAGCTGGTTCAGAATCAGCCCCACCCCCACTCCCGGAGGCTGAGGCCTGTCCCTGGGGAGAAGGCGCTTCAAAGCCAATCTGCAAAAGAAGAAAATGTGGATGAGAGAAAGCAGAGAGTAGGACCTTTGGGGAGTTGGTCCAGGCATCGTTCTATTGAGGAGAGAGGATGATAATAATAATTATATGAAGCATAATTATTATTAGGGACAGAAAGCAAGCTCAGGTTATCTTAGCTATGGTCAAGAGCCATGAAAGTGATTCACATTCATGATTCAAAGGGAATAGCAATAACACATGCAGTGGAAGGAAACTTGATGGGAACAGGTCAGGCTGCCCAAATGTTTCCCCAAATTCAGCTGAGCATGATTTACAGACATGACAGGCTCATTCACACAAACAGGTATCTAAGTTTACGAAAATCTGCATAACTGATTAAAATCCTTCTGAATTTGTAACTCATAGCTCAGTGACCGAGTGCTTTCTCTGCATCTGTAAGGCCTGAGTTCCAACCCCAATGAGGACAGAGGGAGGGCAAGGTAGGGGAGAGGGAGGGGAGGAGAGAAGAGGGGGGAGAGCCCTAATTTAAAGGATGTTGCTATATCATGATACTGCAGGATGGACTCATACTCATATAATCTCTCCACTGCTGAAGTTAGACGTCTCCACCAGATTACACTCATGTGCCACCTAATAGGGGTATGTATGCTTCTAACAATGCACCATTAGGCGATGTCACTGCTGTGTGGACACCAGTTTGCATGCACACATACTAAGATGAGACAACACCAGCAAACCACACTGTCTAAAAGACTCATACACGGGGATATCGCTGACAAAAACCTTATTTTGCATACATTTATACTTTTATATACCCCTTCACCCCTTCAGCTTTGCACCCCCCACCCCACCCCAGTTTTGCAAAGCTGAAGGATTAATCTTGAGCAAATCCTGAAGGGAATTTCTCTAGGCATTAAAATCTGATAACATTTATACAAAATCAAATCTAATATCAAAACTTCTAAAAAGATAATTCTGATCAATATCTGACTGATATGGGTGGTAGATTTGAGTTAACTGACCGACTCAGTCTTATAAATGAACGCCATGTTGTCTTGACTTTTGAAAGTCACAGCGTAGAGGAACAGCAGGCATACGTATAAAAAGACTTGCAACTGGATTGTATTCACTCAAGCTGTAAAGGCACCATGACGAACCTGGTTCTGCCCAGGGAAATGGTCAAGTATGTTCTCACGCTTCTCTGGTAAACTCTGCAGTACTGAAATGCCAAAGGCTTTGAAGCAGTGAGGGAGCACACGTTCTTGGTGCAGAAGTCCCCGGGGTGGGCGTGGGGCTGCGATGCCATACAAAGCAGAACTCTGGTAAGTAGGAGTATATTGCTACTATTTGTAGTAGTTTTTAGAGGCAAATGAGTGCTTGGCAAGCACCTTCCCAGTTCTACATAACCATAAATGTAGGTTTGGGGTGACATTAAAAAAACAGCACAATCATAGTGGGTTATTTGGATTTAGGAATCTCTTTTTTGATACCAAATTGCTTCTTGGTAGAAGTTAATAAGGGCTATGAGGTTGCATTAGATTAAAAGTGAAGCACGCTGTTTTCTGAAAAAAAAAGTCGGAATGTCAAGTGAAGTAGGTTTTCTTGGTAGTGGGTTAGATGTCCCCTGATGCTGAGGTGGAGCCAGGTGTAGAGGCACATGGTGAAGGCAGGAGGATCAGGAGTCCAAGGTCACCTTCAGCTACATAGTGACTTAAGGCTAGTCTGGTCTACTTGAGACTCTGACCCAAAAAAGGAAAAGATTGAGGTGGAGTAGATGTTATCTTCAGAGTCCCGGGCTGATTGTACCAAACCTTCTCTGGCCCAGCAGAGTCAGCTACCCCTAATGCTAAACCCAAACAGCCCAGCGTCAGAGGATGCGACACTGTTTCTTCTGATCACTTTGGATGAGAGGACAGGGTATTCTGCCTGGACATCGTGTCTTTTCTTGGAAGGCAGTGTCTACTCCAGAGAGATTGTTTCTGTGACAGCTGGAAAGAGCTCACAGGTGACACCGATCGGGCTAGCTATTTCCTGCAGAGGATTATCATGTTTAGGCAAGGGTGGGTGGCTGACATGCTGTTTGGGGTTGCTTTTGGAATTTGCTGGCTTATAAAAGCTTTTCTAGACCAAGTATTAAGATCTACTCCCTGTTTAAATATGTAGCTGCTGGTACTGCTGGTTGTCAAAACCAGATTAAACCATTTGTCGCTCACACACCCACCATGGATGGTTCCAGGCATTTTTTTTCCCTCTCCAAACAATATGGACTGATATTCTCACTTTCAGAGAAGAAAGTAACAGAAAAGCTGTTGAGGGCAGAGATTGTCTGGAGTGTCTTCAATGTTCATGCTGTCTCCTCAGGCTGGGGACTTACTAACCATCTCAGCAGGAAAACCCGTGGCCACTTAGCTGAGATTTGAATCTCAGATACCATGTTAGCTTCGGTTGTTAACTTGACACACTCAGGAAGAGGGAACGGCAATTAAGAAACTGACTGCATCTGACTGACTTGTGGGCATATCTGTGGGACATTTTCTTATTGCTCACTGCTGGCCCACTGTGGGTGCTAATATTCCTAGGAAGATGGATCTGGGCTGTTGTCTTAGTTAAGGTTTTAACAGTTGTGAAGAGACCCCATGACCACAGCGACTCTTATAAAGAAAACATCTAATGGAGGGTGGCTTGTTTACAGTTTCAGAGGTTCAGTCCATTATCACCATGGTGGGGAGCATGGTGACTTAAAGGCAGACATGGTGCTAGAACTGAGAGTCCTACATTTTACAGGCAACAGGAAGTCGACTGACTCACTGGATGGTATCCTGAGCATAGGAAACCTCAAAGCCTGCTCCCACAGTGACACACTTCCTCCATCAGGGCCACGCCCATTCCAACAAAGCCACACCTCCTAATAATGCCACTCCTATGAGATTATGGGGGCCAATTACATTCACACTACCACAGCTGTGTAAGAAAAATAGCTGAGCCAACCAGTAAGCAGCATCTACTGATTCCTGCTTCAGGTTCCTGCTTTGATCTCCAGCCTTAACTTCCCTGGAGCCTGGAGTATAACCTTTAAGTCAAACAAAAGCCTCCCACCTCAAGTTGGCTTGGGTCGCTGTCTTATCACAGTGACAGAGAAGCTAACTG